CGGCTAATTGGATTTCTTCGGCTTGGTCCCAGCCCTCTACAGTCCTCACCAAATGCAGCCGAAGGCCAGGATCGTACCAGAGGGTGGCGATGACGCAAAAAAAAGCAGTTTAAAAAAAACAAAACCCTATTAGCATCCTAGGATTTGAATAGTAGCCTTTTCTTGAGTTCTGGAGCTTGAATGGAAAAGAGGCTGAACACTCAGGGTTAAAAGGTTCAAGGAGTTGAAAACGGAGTGTTTAAATTCTGCGCTTTTCAGCTTGGGGAGATCTGCTTTTCAGGATAACAGAGTCGGAAGGGAACTTGGAGGTCTTCTAGTCCAACCCCCTGCTCTGGCAGGAAACCCTCTACCATTCGAGACCAAAAGGTTGTCCAGTCTCTTCTTAAAAGCCTCCGGTGATGGAGCACCCATTCCTTTTGAATAACAGACTAATAGAGTTGGATTAGATGACCTTGGAGGTCATCTAGTCCAACCCCCTGCACAAGCAGGAAACCCTATACTATTTCAGACAAACACTTATCCTTTCTCTTCTTAAAAACCTTCAGTGATGGAGCACCCACAACTTCTAGTGGCAGGTTGTTCCATTGGTGAATTGTCCTCACTGTGAGAAAATTTCTCTTTATTTTCAGATGGAATCTCTCTCCTTGTTCAGTTTCCACCCATTATTCCTTGTCTGGCCATCAGGTGCCCTGGAAAACAGCTTGACCCCCTCCTCCTCTCTGTGGTAGCCCTTCCCTCAAATACTGGAAGGCTGCTCTCCCGTCGCCTCTAGCCTTTTTCTTCACTAGACTAGCCATGCCCAGTTCCTGCAACCGCTCATCCTATGTTTTAGTCTCAAGATCTTTGATCATCTTAGATAGATTCAGATTAACAGAGTTGGAAGGGACCTTGTAGGTCATCTAGTCTACCTCCCTGCCGTCCAAGCAGGAGACCCTACACCATTTCTGACAGAAGGCAGTCCAGTCTCTTCTTGAAAGCCTCCATTGATGAAGTTCCCACAACTTCCGAAGGCAACTTCTGTTTCACGGGTTGATTGCTCTCACTGTCAGAAAATTCCTCCTTATTTCCAGGTTGAATCTCTCCTTGGTCAGTTCCCATCCATTCTTCCTTGTCTGGCCTTCAGGTGCTTTGGAGAATAGCTTGACCCCTTCCTCCTCTCTCTGGCAGCCCCTCAAATATTGGAAGGCTGCTCTCCTGTCTCCCCTGGTCCTTCTCTCCACTAGACTAGCCATTCACCAAACTAGGAATCTGAGTTAGTAGCAGGCTAGATGAATTGGCACCAGGTAAGAGTTCATAGACTTCAAGGACAGGTAGAGTTGGGTCTCTTACATGGGTGTAGAGGCTCCAAACTCACAGCGCATTTGAACATATCCTCTTTTTTTTTTAACGACCTTTATGATTTACAACTGTAATGGGGCGGTTTCCTTATGGTCGTATGTCGAGGAGTAGCTGTTAAAGGTCTCTCTCTCTCTCTCTATTCTCTGCATCTTCCTGATTGATGTCATTTGCCTGTCTCGATCATTTTCTTCAGACCAGCAGTTTTTTTTTGGAGTTTCTCTTGTTTTCTTTTTTGGCAAAAGAACAATGAACGGCTCATCTGCTTTGCGTTGCCATTATTCTTTCTTTCTTTCTTAAAAAGGGGGAAAAAAAACCCCACGCTATTGTTTGCTGTAACAACAGATGTCATAAATCTGAACAGAGAGAGAGAGGGAGGGAACAAAAAGCTTTTGGTTAATCTAGCATCCCGTTTTTTCCTAAACATTTGCTACTCCGCGTGCACACAACCAGCGGGAGCGCTGGGCCAAGGATGCGTCGAACGGAAGGACTCAAACCCGTGTTAAAACGGGTCGGAAAGGTGGCTTGGGAATCCCAACAGTGCTTTTTTTTTTTCAGGAGGCAACTGGACTGCCTTGTTTTTTCTTTTGAAGACCTTTCACTTTTCCTCCAAGAAGCTTCTTCAGCTCTGACTTGGATGGTGGGGAAAGGAAGGATTTATACTCCTTGCAGACAGCTGGTCATTTGCATCCCTTTTAGAGGGTCGTTGAGGCCACTTGGAGGTTTATCTGTGTCTTTGGCGTCACATGAGTGGTGCAAATGGTTCCAATTTTTTTTCTCTGGAAATCCATTCCTACTCCCACTCCATTCCAGCGGGGCTCATCCCAAATTGTATAGCTAAAAGTCCTTCGGGTCATGGTTGTCCCAAAGATACCTTTTCCAGAGGCAATTGGACTTCCTTCTTTTGAAGAAGTTTTGCTTCTCATCCAAGAAGCTTCGTCAGCTCTGACTGAAGTCGAGGATTGCAGACTTTCCTTTGGAAGCCATGCTCCTCCAGGTGGGGCAAACCTTTCCCTGGTCCCCAGAGGTTGTGAAAGGACCTTGGAGGTCTTCTAGTCCAACCCCCTGCCTAGGCAGGAAATCATACACCACTTCAGGCAAATGGTTGTCCAACATCTTTTTTAAAAACTTCCAGTGTTGGAACATTTACAACTTCTGGAGGCAAGTCGTTCCACTTTTTAATTATTCTCACTGTCAGGAAATTTCTCCTTAGCTCTTAAGTTGCTTCTCTCTTTGATTAGTTTCCACTTGTTGCTTCTTGCCCTGACATAGTAATCATAATATACATAATCGTTCAATAATAAACTCATAGTAATGACGACGATTAACCTGGTGAAGCATTTCCTACCCTGCCTTTCACCTTCATCCTGGACCAGGCAGTTCCCGGGTCACATCTGGAGCGCCGTGATTTTTAATTTCAAGTGGATTCTTTATTTTTATTTCTTTAAATCCCTCTTTTGCCTTGACCCTCCGTGCTCCAAACGGAAAGCCTTTGGGAGAGAACAGCGTGCCCTCCAAAGCTGGTTCCCCAGTTGTTCATTTTCGATGCTCCCTCAGGGTTGGCATGAGTCACCCAGGACGCAAGGAAGAGGCGGACGCGCCCGGGACCGCTTCGCCATAGTAACGGCAGCGTTGCCGCGGTTTGTGTTCGCATCATCAAGCAGCCCTGATAATGTGCACTTATCCAAATGGTGTGTCTGGCAGGAGTTCAAACTCAGCCACGGCTCTCCTGTACCCATGAAATCCGGCGTTGTTTAGGTTTGTTTGTTTTTTTCCCCTTCTTCCCCATTTTATTCGAGTTTATTCCAAGAGAAAACCCACGTTAGGAAAGCAAAAAGAAGAGGAAAACAATGTTTTTTTTTTAAATTTGAACAGCGTGTTGTCCAGGAACAATTAGTTTGGAATAACAAAATGATAAGCATAATAAGTAATCATAATATACATACAGTGTTTCCCCGAAAATAAGACCCTGTCTTGTAATTTTTTTTGCCACCAAAAAAGGCACCAGGTCTTATTTTCAGGGGATATCCTCCACTGACTAATCTCACTTGCACGCGTCGCTCCCAGCCTCCTTTTCTCTGTCAGAGGCCTTCAGGAACCCCTTCTGCGGCTGGAAAGGTTTTCCTGAAGGCCTTTGCAGCCGATAACAGCTGTGGATCGATCCAGAGCTTTGTTACCAGCTCCAGAGGCCTTCAGGAAAGCCTTGCCAGCCTTGCCGGCTGCAGAAGGAATCGGCCGGCAAGGCAGGTGTCGGGGTGTGCGGAGCCTAGCTACAACTGTCCAAAGGTAAGTAGTAGGGCAGCTCCACTCCCCCATCCCCCCCCCGTTTAATTTTTACCCGTCCACTCTGGAGTGGGTGGGATCTTAATTAGGGCTTATTTTTTGGGGGGTAGGGCTTATATTGAGCACAGGTGTAAAAATCAAGCTAGGGCTTACTTTCAGGGTAGGTCATATTTTCAGGGAAATGGTATCATTAATAATAAACTCATAGTAATAATAAGATTAGTTTATCCATGCTGGAAAACTTTCATTATATCATTAATCATTCTCTTAATCTTTTTTTACTTTCTAACCTCTGTTTCTGTTAGTGAGCCATTGGTAAAACAAATCCCATGTTAGAAACTATTCTGTTTTCTACCTTCTTTATTTTTACTGTCAATCTGTCCATCTCTGCGCATTCTAATATTTTTATTTATAACCCTTTCGTCTGAAGGGATCTCTTCATTTTTCCGATGTTGTGCAAACACAATTCTTGCTGCTGCCAAGACATGTAAGATTAGATACATGTTCCCTTTATTATACTGTTTGGGTAAAATATCCAACAAAAATATTTCTGGTTTAACATCAATATGTTGCTTTATCATTTTTTTCTAACCATGTATGTATTTTAGTCCAATAGTTTTTTTGCAAAAATTTTAAAAAAATCACCAAGCCAGGGTTTTTCGTTGTTCTTTTTCATGACCAAGACAAGAATTCACCATTTCCTGGTTTTTAGCCTGGTGCTTTAACCACTAGACCAAACTGTCTCTCCTTGCATCTTCCCAGGATGAGATCAGAATTATAGTGAGCAGAGGTGCCAAATGATGAATTCTAGGTCTTTTTGTAAAGCCGGAGTAAAAATTTCAAAGTATTTCTCACACACACACACACACACACACACACACACACACACACACAATTCATGGGTGATATTAATGCGATGGACCGAAGTAGTAACAGCGGGCATGCAATTGTGGGTGTTTCTGTAGGTGTGGTTGTGTAACTCTTTTCCTTCCTTCTGCGGTGCAGTTGATGCTGTAAGAAGTTGTGATGTTGGGGAGGTCGAGCCAACTTAGCAAAAAATACTTTCGAAAATGGCTATTTTAAGCCAATTCTCGGAACCTTAGCTTCTTTCTTTTTAGGTTTGTCATTATTATTATTTTGCATTGCTATATAAAACATTTTCTCCAATCCCAGGTCCCTGGAAGGCACTCCTTTCAGCCCTTGCTATTGCTAATTTGCACTCCTTTCAGCCCTTGCTATTTTCAAGGATGACTGTTTCAACCTCCTTGTGTGTGTGTGTGTGTGTGTGTGTTTAACAAAATAGTCCGTCTTTGCTGCCAGTGGCGACAAGATGGGGATCCACCAAGATTCATAACCTTCCTTTTCTGTTGTGCTTTGCTCAGGAGAGAGAAAGGAACTCTCGGAGAAAGAAGAAAAAGAGCTCTGCGATCCAAAACGAGGAGAGAACTTTCCCCCCGGTGACCGAGGACGAAGAGATGGGCCAGGATGGGTCGGGCACCAGCGGCAACGAGGAAGAGATGGCCGAGGAGGTCGAAGCAGAAGGTGAGGTGTTTCTCCAGGATGAGGCTGAATATCTTGGTCCGTTTTCGCTTGGACCAAGGGTCCCAACCTTGGCAACTTCAATGCCTGCGGAGATTCTCGATCGTGCCAAAGTCATGCTTGTCCCAAAGGCTTTTTCAAAAGGCAACTGGGACTTTGGTTTTGCTTGAAGTCATTTTGCTTCTCAATCCGAGAAGCTTCTTCCATTCTAGTGGAAGTCAGAAGTCAGCCAGAACGGAAGAAGCTTCTCGGATGAGAAGCGAAACGTCTTCAAGCAAAAAACATAGGGAAACCTAGTTGTCATTTTGGGGGGGGGGGGGGGGAAACAACAACTTTAAGACTTGTTGGATCTCAACTCCCAGAATCCCTCAGCCATCATGGCTGGCCTGTGGAATTCTGGGAGTTTAAGTCCACCCATCTTAAAGTCACCAAGGTCTAGAAACCCTGCTGTAATCCTTAATATTTCTATTTTCTCAGCTAGTTTGCCACTAAGGGTTGGCCTTCATGTCCAAATCACATTTTGTGCCCCAGCAGAGGATTGTATCATCACAAAGAGGCTGATAAACAGATTTTCTGGAGAAAGAGCAAGAGTTAAAAAACTTCCTGATTATTACTTAGCAGGACTTCTGAGTTTAATCTTTGGTAGCCGCTGTGGGATCAAGTCTTGGTTCTAGGCAAGATCATTGTGTCCTGCCCCTGTCGGAATCTGAATCTGAGGAGGAAGACGAATAGCTGACAGGGAGTGGGAGTGTGGCTCCGTTGGCTGTGGAGGAAACTGGGGAAGGGCAAAGTCCGGCTGGGCAGAGCAGGGCAGAGGTAGAACAAGGGAGAGGGAGTTCAGAGGAAGATCCAGGCCCACCCCCTCTTCATCCTAGGGCATGCAGGGAGGAATGGAGAAGGGAGCAACGGGGTTGCATGGCTTACAAGGGAGGAAAGGGCCCTGATTCCCTTCATTAGCCACACCTGGGAATGGGAATTTAAAAGAACTTGAAGGCTGACTGCAGCAGCTGCTGGGAGCAAACGTGAGTTTATCTTGTGTTGATTTTGCTTATCTGTGTTCCTGGCGTCTTCCCAACCGTGTGAGTTTTGCCATGCCTTCAAGTCTGAAATTCTTGCTCCTGCCCTGCCAAACTAATTACTTCAATTTGGCTTGTTTGGACTTTAAGTTACAGTTTGTGTTGACCATGTTTTGGACCTGATTCTCTGCAGCCAAAGGCTGTTCCCGGGAGAGATTTTCTCCAGCCCAGAAGGTAACCAGGACACTGGGGGCAAAGTTGGAGCTAGTAGAGGTATTCGTACTGATTATCTGACTGTGTTGCCTTTGTGCCACGCCCCTTTGGGTCATCACATGTTGCTTGGCTGATTGACATCAGAGACGGGTTAGAAGAATACAAAACAACAAATGGACAACCTTCCCTCTTCTTCTGTGGGAACCGATCCAGCAACTTGTAGAAGCTTGGCTATGTGTAGGTAGTCCTCGACTTACACCAGTTCGCTTAGTGACCATTTGAAGTTACAATGGTACTGGGGGAAAAAGTAACTTATAACCGTTTTTCACACTTTAGGACCGTTGTAGCATTCCCCCGGTCATGTGATCAAAACTTGGATAATTGGCATCCGGCTCATATTTATGACGGTGGCAGTGTCCCGTGGTTACATGAGCCCCTTTTGCGACCTTTGTGACCAGGGAAGGCTGATTCACTTAACGACCGTGTTGTTTTAACAACTGCAGGGATTCACTGAAGGACGGTGGCAGGAGAGGTCGTAAAATGGAGCAAAATTCACCTCACTTGTCTCGCCGAGCCGTGGAAATTTTGGGGCTTGGCTGGCAGTCATAAGTTGAAGACTGCCTGTATTGCAATGTCCCCATTGAACTTGGGGGGAAGGGAAGGAATTATTTAACAATCCTGTCCCCGTTCTCCCCCCCCTCCCCCCTCCCCCCTGATCTCTGATGAGAAGGACCGGGGTTGACCTTGAAACAGTTGGAAATCTTTTCCAGGCAGTGCTTAAAGGAACTCATTACAAAGCAGGTTTTCAGGTAAATATTCTGTGTCGGAGACGCAGGGATGAGTCAGAGACAATGGGAGGAGGAGGAGGGGGGGTGAGATCTCACAGAGGGGGATGCAACAGCTGGTTCCGAGGACACAGTCGGCACACACGTGTGGTGCGCTCTGCAAGTTCGAAGCGAGAGTTGGTTTGGTTACAGGAACTGGGCGTGGCTGGTCTAGGGAAGAGAAGGACCAGGGGAGACAGGAGAGCAGCCTTCCAATATTTGAGGGGCTGCCGCAGAGAGGAGGAAGCAGGTCAAGCTATTTTCTAAAGCAGCTGAAGGCCAGACAAGGAATGACGATGGAAACTGATCCAGGAGAGATTCAACCTGGAAATAAGGAGGAATTTTTTGACAGGGAGAACAATCAACCCGTGGAACAGAAGTTGCCTTCGGAAGTTGTGGGAGCTTCATCCCTGGAAGCTTTTCAAGAAGAGACTGGAGTGCCATCTGTCAGAAATGGTGTGGGGCCTCCTGCTTGGGCAGGGGGAGGTTGGACTAGATGGCCTACGAGGTCCCTTCCGGCTTTGTTAAGCTGTCATCTGGTTGAATGTCATTGGAGGCCAGGCACCGGGACCTCTAAGCCGGAGGGCAGGTCTTTGAGTGCCCCCCCCTGCCCCATCGCGCATCTTAAAGGGGCGTGGGTCTTGCAAAAAAGGGGGCCCACGCTTTGCAAACCGGCCTGCCCTTGCATTGAGCTGAAAGCCAGCCTTTTTGCCTTGGCGTCGTTCCGTTTCTTGTAACGGATGCAAAAAACAGCCGAGGCTTTTCCCAGAGACCCGCTCGGCCCCTCCCAGATTCTCTCCAGATTGCAAAGTGCAAAAAAAGAAAAATAATAAAAAAAGTAAAATTGGAGCCGAGCCAAGATCCTGCAAAAGCTTTCCCAACCGAAATGGGGGGAGAGTGGCACTTTCTCTCTCTCTCTCTCTCTCTCTCTCTTCTCTCACTCGTTCTCTAGCAGAACGTGTGCCAAAAGCTCTCTGAGATTCCTTGCTTAGTTTACTTTGCGGAAGGGAAGAGGGGAAGCTGCCCTTTCGGAGGCGCTTGGCAAGGAGAGAGACATCAGCGATGCTCGGAATTTGGTTGGAGGACTTAGGAAATAGGCAGAGAGCTTCCAGTCTGGCTTGGACACCCTTCCCTGTGGAGTGGATCCAAGCAGCGATTCTCAAACTTGGCCATGGTAAGATTTGTGGACTTCCAACTCCCAGATTTCCCCAGCCAGCATGGGTGAACTTCAACTCCTTTCAATATGGGTGGACTTCACCTCCCAGAATTCCCCAGTCATCACTTCCAGTCCCTTCAACATTAAGCCTAGATTCCCCAACGGGTGTTAAGGAAAACAAACTAAACAGAATGTGCAGCGAAGTCAGATAGGAAGACAGGTAAATGTGTGAGATAAGTTTTCTAGTTAACACGCAGTAAAAATACAGATACGCTTGTGCTATCAAAAATATTGTTTATTCCATTTAAAAATTATAGCATAGTCAAATAAACGGTCCATTAGTCATATATCAATTTCAGTCAAGTCTTGTCAGTGATACACTATTTTGCAAAGTCCGTGTTGAATAGCCAATGTCAGTACACTTACAATAAATCAGTCCAATCTCTCTTTATCTTCTTCTCTCCGTTGAGAAGTATCTTCAAAGTAATCCAACACTTCTTCTCCTCCCCGATCCAGCAAGAACGCAGTCTTCAATAAGCCAGCCAGTAAGAGCCAGAGAGTGCCTTGCTGCTTATATAGTACTTTTACAGCTGCACCCTTAATTACATTCCTTTAGCTTAAAGTCACATACACTTTATCTGACAAACCATGATTCATCATTTTATTATCTTTACCCAAAACAGTTAGGGTAAAACAATGTTATCCCTAACATTGGGACTTCAACTCCCAGATTTCCCCAGTCATCACTTCCAGTCCCTTCA